CATCTTTCAGTAGCGCACGTAAGAGACAAAACTCAGTCATAAAAATTCCTTTTTAAGACGCTGCTTACAAATGTACTGCTTTTTGTTAAGCACACTTTGTAGCCATCAAAGAGGGATAAACTGAATAATTTCTTACGTTTCAAACTAAACCATCTTAAAAGATTTACCCTTGTTTTCTCCGGCCACTTCCGATAGTTTCTGAGCAAGTGCGATTCCAGTTGTGCTCCTTAGAACCAGCCTTCAGTTTGGAGACAAGTAAAAGCTGCTTGTTAATGTTTATAATGCCGTGGTTGCCGCTTTTTCGCCCCAAGACAGTTTTGGATTCTGGATTCCATGCTGGATTCCTGATTCCTTGTCAGTGGAACTTGGATTTTGGATTTTAATCGTTATCGGGATTCCGGATCAGTCCATGTGTTGAATTACGGATTCCAAAGCCAAGGATTCCAGATTCTATAAAAATAATAAAATAAAATTTGTAATAAATAAATATTAGAATTTGGTAGCTTTGTAAATATTCTATAAAATCATTTGTGCCCACAATAAAAATTAGAGGATGGGTCTTACCGCCTTGAATAAGAATTCTATAATACAATGAAAAGTGCATTCACACGTAGTAGTAAGAGACATAAACAGCGTGACAATGCATTGCAGGAAACCGTCACATTACAAGTGTCACATTCACGGACAAAAAGAAAATCGCTTATAATTATTCAGATCCACGAGGCACTTTGGAGAAATTAAGCAAACTTAAACCCTAATTAGCCGCAATGAAGAACTTTACATTTCAAAAGAGGTCAAAGACAAAATGCTCTTACATCAGAGGGAAAATCATGCCGACCAGATTGACCGCAGAAAATCAATATGCGTGTCACGATCTCTCAGTCTGAAATAAGCGGCAACAATCACATTTGATCAGTCAAAACGTTTTCTTCCAGAACATAATCTACCCGTCAGAGAAAAAGAACAAAAATATTGGAACAAGCAGCATTTTGGCATGAGGTAAAAGTCGTGTGTTGCCCACCGATCCCCTTTTTTCCACCATTCAATCCTACTGTGCTAGGATGCGCACAAACACCCGAAGGACATTTCAGGGAGGTGCAAAATATATCCCACAATTCCTTATAATGTCAGTGAGCATCTTCGCCCGTCAGGGCATTTTGACAGAATGCAGCCAGCTACCAGACTATGTGGAACCCTCACACGAAAGGTGAGTCTTACATTTACAGTGAAACCTGAATTAAGCGGACACCGTATTAAGCGGACACCCTCTATTAAGCGGACAGTAGCCGAAGTCCCCTAATTTATTTCCCTTATTTACTTTAAATGAAACCTTTATTAAGCGGACACCTCTATTAAGCGGACGCGGACACCCAAAAAGTACCTGAAATGGTCATTTCTATTGTTGCCAACCTGTATTAAACGGACATTTCTATTGTTGCCAACCTGTATTAAACGGACACTTGTAATTAAATTCCACCACCCAACATGCCAGACGCCAGAAATGCAAAAGATTGCCTCGAATTGCCACCCACAAATTTTTCGATTTTTACATTAAAAAACGTGACTTCACGAACTTATTTGATTAGTTTCTCAGTACAGTATTGTTTTCCATTTCGTTTTGTTTGTATAGAGCTTTATTCACTCATTTGATTTCTTCAAATTTGAGTTGCAATCTATGTTTAAGGTACTATGATCAATTGGTCCACTTTGATAAAGAAATTCATTCAAACGTACGGTGGCCCAGAAGGGTTACACATGCAAATTAAAAATGTTGCTACAAATTAAAATTAAAAATTGTACATGCAAACTAAAAATATTACCTGCAAATTAAATATAGTACATGCAAAGTAAAAATTGTGCTGCAAATAGAAAATAGAAAACATATCGATGCAAATTAAAAATGAAAAGTCCTGCGCGCGCAGTATGAGTGATGAGGACCTGGTCCGATCCGTGCGACCTGCCCTTACAGCCGTTGACCCATTCATGTTTCATGTTTGTGATATTTTTAGTTTGCATGTACAATTTTTAATTTGCATGTCCCATTTTAAATTTGCAGGTAAATTTTTTAGTTTGCAGCAACATTTTTAATTGGCATGTGCGACCCTTCTGAGCCACCGTACAAATGTATATCGTCATAGTCTCTGGGAGTATTCTAAACGTTTCCACTGTTCATTTGAATGGCATTTGACACCTCATATGACGTTATCTATTGAAACCTGTATTAGGCGGGCACCCTGTATTAAGCGGACACTACAGTATTCCCCGAGGATGTCCTCTTCATACAGGTTTCACTGTATTTTATTTTTTTTAGTAAAATGTTGCCTAAGTTCATTTAAGTTATTACAGAGCACCATAAAAATTAAATACCTTTTAACAATCGTTTTAATATTTCACTTTTACTAAACAGGTACCTTATTTTTGGATTGACATTGAAAGACTATTAGCCAAAATTCATCAATTGCATTCTTTTTTTCTGCTCAATACAAAGTTAATTGAAGGT